TACACTATGTAGAGAAAACAGGATAGAGAAGCAGGACTACTCCTGAACTTCTGAAATTAAAAAAAGGCGTACCAGTGTAGAGAGCTCCCGCTCTGTGTGGGGTCTGGGAAGGGTGTTAGTGGCAAGCCTTACCTTCGCCTGTGTAATGCGAGGAGACCGCGACTCGAACCCGGGACCTTTCAGAGAGTGCACTGAAATTAAATTAAATATATTCATATTGTCCAGTAGACATCAAAGAGCATAGGATTACACCTGTTCAGTAGACATAGTAGCTCGGATGAACAGTACTCTCCACGCTCAGCATAACATACAATTCAAAGGATCCTACATCAAGTACAATAAAAATCTAATATGGAAGGCACACTCAAAATAAGCGAAAACTTTTCACTTGGATACTAATCCAAGACAAGACAATTAAAACTTGCGAGGCTGGCCTCAACAGGACACGCGTGTCGCCACCTGTGCCTACTCTGCCCCTTTGCCCAAGGGGTTTGGCTACAAGTTGCAACTTGGGAACATTGCAATGTGGTGCCAGGCGTACCCCAGCGCAAAGCACATTCAGGGCTAGGAACATTCAGTGCAAAGCACACAGAACTGCAGGCACAGATCTACTAAAGGACATGGGTGTGCACATGTACGCATAATAATCTTTGAAAGGGGTCGAAGTTAGCAGGCATAATACATGTACACAAATGTAATTAGATCAGATCCGGATACAAACAACCAATTGGCTTAATTTAGGGTTGGATTTTCGGTTTCACATAGCAGGAAGAGGTTGCTTTTTGGTGGCGGCAATGAGCGAGGTGTAGGAGGCGTTGAAGAAGCCGGGGTCTCAGCGATGTAGTCCTCGGGCGATTCTGCGAGCGTGAGGCAAAGCTGGATGTTCTTTGCTGACGGGATCTGGCTCCTCTGAAGAAGCCTAGCGGCGGAGGCTGAGGTCGAGGCCCCTATGCCGAGTCCTCGGCGGTAGTTGCAGCGCGCGGTGGTGGCGTTCTGCCGCGGCGGGCATGGCGCGGCGGTCGCTCCTCGCGCTGAGCTCCGCCTGCGGGCGGAGGCTGGCCGGGCCATTCGGCGAGGCCCGGCGAGGCTCGCCGGCGGCGGAAGTGGTGGTGGCGTTTGCAAGCGGTGGCCGGCGGCGGGCGGCGGTGGCTAGACAACGAGGGTTCCATCCAGCCCGAGTTTCGCATGTGTCGGCACGGGCAATTATCGTTCCAAAACGGTGTCCATCTTTTAGTCTTTTTAGTCGTGAGAGATTGAAAAAGTGGGCCAGGTGGAAGTACGGAGGCGCAGAGGAGATGGATGCCATTAATTGTTGCGTCTTTTTCCACCTATTGAACAGCGGTGTAGGTGATGGATGATTAAGGGATGGATTTGATTCCTGAGTACGATCGGATGGACTATATGTAGCGATGACGTAGGGCGCCATGGAATAAGATAAACTCTCTTTGTGGGGTTTTATTTTATAAGAGTATATAAGATAAGATAGGATATGATATATATACTTTATATACTCCCCGGTTCTAAATTATAAGTCGCTTTGACTTTTTACATCGATTTTGCCATGCATTTAGACATATATTTATCAGCCTGTTCGGTTGGCTGGTTCGTTTCGTTGCTGGTTCGTGAAGAAGTACTGCTGGCTGGTTTGTGTGAGAGAGAAAACACTGTTCCGGCTGAAAATTTACGATCGTTTACGACAAGCCACAACCAAACGAACAGCCTATATATCTAGACACATAGCAAAATAAATGTACCAGTAAAGTTAAAGCGACTTATAATTTGGAACGGAGTCTAGTGGTTACAAGATCCAACTCTCTATGGGAGCAAATATTACATGATTTAATGGCTTTTATAGAGGCAGTATTTACGTATATACATTCATAGAAGTGAGTGTGTGTTGTGAGCGTATGTGTAGATGTGTCTATGGTGACTTCATCGATCTCGTCTCGAGAATTTGTAAGTCCAGTTTTCGAAGGTGTTCATCAAGATAGGATTTACGTGCGTGTGTTGTGAGTGTCTGTGTTGTACTGGTAATCTATATCTCATATAAAGATAAACTCCACTAGCAATTTATCTTGCCATGTAAAGTGTTCATATCAGCATCCACTAGAACATCCAACTAGCGCATTCAACTATCTCGCCATGCAAAATGTCCACATCAGCATCAACTAACATATCCATCTAACACATGCCATTATGTCTTTATTCAAACTATTCACATTAGCAAACCATATCATTTACTAACATATATTTAGTTTCTCCACATCAGAATGCTAAAAAGCATCCACTAACATGTATTAAGATATTTATTCAATCATATTAGTAAATATAAGTGATATAATTTCACTAGCGATTCCCGCAGCAACGCGTGATGCGTTCTTCTAGTTTCAAAAAAAAGTTAAAGAGCCAAAATTTTGTGTCTATTTTTTTCGTTCATCTCTTCCTAACTATCCAGAAAATGAAAAGTTTCTTCCTTCGTACTCTTTTTACATGCCAAACTATACCCTCTCCATGTATCGTATCGTACATGCCCTAGACCCGGGACCCGTGATCATATACGGGTTAGAACAACTCGCGTCCAGCGATGATCAATACAGAGTTCGATTATAAGATGTATTGAGTTGCGTCCTTCGTATCTTGACATAGGCTCATAACTCGTACTCATACGAGTTAGAACAACTTGTGTCTAGTATATGTATTGGGTTCCGTTGCAAAGCACGGATACATTTTGCTAGTATATGGGCATTTCGATATACATGACTAGTTATTAGTTGAGACTAAAAATTAACCTAAATTAGTTGTGGTTGGCTAACAACTAGTTGAAGATTTAGCTAAAAAATTAGTCCACCTATTAGCTTTTCTATTTGGATGCACTAAGGTTAATTTAAACTAAATTTTAGCTAAGCAGTTAGCCATATATCAAGTATGCCTTATATATATAATATTAGGCATATAACAAAGCGGTAATGCTCTCTACCGCACGTCTTCGTTGGGCCTGTGGACCAGGTTGTTCGGCCCAACTGAAACTCACGGCTTCTCTATTTTATTAAAAAAATCTAGACGCTTCCACCGGGACGGAACCGCCTCGCGCCGCGCGCCCCTGCGCCTCGTGCTGGACCCATCTCGCGCCATGCGCCCTGTGCCTCACGCCTCACGCGGACCCACCTCGTGTCGCGCACCCCGCCCGTGCCTCACACCGCTCGCCGTCCGCGCCTTGTGCCTCGCGCCGCGCGCCTCGCACTGCGCTCCCCCGCGCCCGCGTCAACGAGCCTTCATTGCGCGACAACAATTAGATGAGCACATGTTACAACTATATGTTTCATGCGCTTCAGATGCATGTTGTGTATGTTTCATATGGATGTTACAAAAGTAGATCTGGTGTTGCATATGTTGCAATGGTTATACACATGTGTTGCAAGTGTATGTTTGAAATATTTCCGTTTTTTCAAACGTATGTAGCAAGCATTTCATCTGGATGTTACATATATTACAGTTGCTATACACGTATGTTGCAAGTGTGTTTTCCAAATGTTTCAGCTGATTTTCATCTAGATGTTGCATATTTTAATCTATAGGTTGCATGTTTTCATCTAGAGGTTGCATAAGTTGTAGTGGCTATACATGTATATCGCAAGTATGTTTCAAGTGTTTCACCCATTTTAGACGTATGTCGTAAGTGTTTTATCTATATGCTCTATATGTTGCAGCGTGCTCTGACTCGCGGGCGCGCATGCGCTGCACACACCCATACAACGCTACCTATCTCTCTCATGCGGATAGCTCCAATAGTCAAACGTGCACGCAACAGACGGTCAGTACCCAAAAGGCCAAGCACTCTCTGATTAAAGTGTATGCGCGCATGCAGAGTGGGCCAGCATCCAACGGATGCAGAACTAGGCGCCCCTACACCACCAGGCTTGATCCCCCATGGTGGAGCATGTAGCTAAGGTCAACACATGAGTATGCGCGCTATGCTTCCTCCGTCTATGGCATATTCGCATGGTCGTAAACGATCGTAAATTTTCAGTCAGAACAATATTTTTTCTCACACCAAAAGCCAACTAGCAATAATAATCCACGATCGTTTACGATTGTTTCAGCCCCAGCCGAACAGGCTGTATATCTTATATTGATCTCTCTCGTATTGGACCACGCGCGCTGTGCTCTCTCTCGTGTTGCGCTGTGCGGGCGTCCGGACGCGCCTGTCTGACGAGACGTTCGGGCGCCCAAACGGAAAAGCTAACATGAGCGTCGGTCCGTTGTTAGCGAAAGCTCAAAAAAAATGCTACCATGTCACGTGATGATGGGCTGAAAGTCTGTCTCCCGATGTTGCACAGAGACTCTCGAGGCTGCATATTATTCGTGGGCCGTTCTGGGCCTGTTATATATTTACGCTGGGCTGCCGCTGGATTGAATACTTTCCACAAGATAGGTAGCGAGCCCCCTTCGTTCACCGCTGTCTCGCTTTTCTTCTCCCGTTCACCTCCTCTGCCTGCAACAAGTTCCTCTCCCTCGTGGCAACGACTGGGCGACGCCGCCGCCGCCTCCTCGTACGCAGATTCCCAGGTCTTCGCCGGTCCCTTCGCCGCCAAAGAGCAACTACTAGGTATGCCTACCCCTTCTCTTTCCTTCCTGCCCAAACCCTAACTCCAGGTATTTGGCTATTTGGTTCGGATCTGGTATTTGGCTATTTGGTTCGGATCTGATCTAGTACAGGTGTGTACATGTATTGCGCCTACTGGCTTCGATTTGTTTTGCAAAAATTGTCGGGTGTATAGCGGTATACGCATGTCCTTTACTGGTTCCGCCCCTGCTTGGCTCAAGCGCAAAAATCATACTGGATTTTAGATTTCTGTGTACTGTTTTTATGGGCTAAATTCTACTTTGTGCTCATTTGTTTTCAGCGGTTCAGTTTCCCCTTTAGCTATAATTTGCGTCGAAAATATGTTTCAGGCTAAATCTGCGAGCGGGGCATCTCCATAAAGTGACTCGTGCTAATTATGCGATCTTCATGGGCTGACTCAGTTGCGAACGCCGAGGAATCGGCGCCCGCGACTGCTGCTGCTGCTGCTGCTGCTAACGGCTCTGTTGCAACTCATGGCAACTTGCGCCCCACGCGCAGCTCCTACGTGCCTCCTCACCTCCGTGGCCGTCCAGCTGGTGCTAGCTTTGACAACCAAGCGGGCTTAGTAGCACCGGCACAAGGTGGACCACTGCCCTCGGCTGCTGCACAACCTTCTGGTCAGGGCGCTGCTGTTGGTGGCCCTCGCTGGGCTGGCATTGTGAATGGTGGTGGTGGTGGTGGCAGCGTTGGTGCTCCTCGCCAGGGTTATGATGGTGGTGGCGGGGGCGGAGGTCGCGGTGCTTGGAACTCCCGTCCTGGGGGTTGGGACCGCAGAGACCGTGAGCCCGATCCTTTTGCCAAAGCTGAGGCTGAAGAAGTTGACTTCGAGGGCCAGGAGAATACTGGCATCAATTTTGATGCCTATGAAGACATCCCTGTTGAGACCAGTGGCCATGATGTGCCTGCACTAGTCAACACATTTGCAGAGATTGATTTGGGTGACGCATTGAATGAGAATATCCGGAGGTGCAAGTATGTGAAACCAACACCAGTGCAGCGTTATGCCATCCCAATCTCCATTGCTGGGCGGGATCTCATGGCTTGCGCACAGACTGGATCTGGAAAAACTGCTGCATTCTGTTTCCCAATCATCAGTGGCATCTTAAAGTCACCAAGGCCACAACAGAGGTCACGGAGTACAAGGACTGCTTGTCCTCTGGCTCTGATCTTATCACCCACTCGTGAGCTTTCGGTCCAAGTATGTCAAACCAATAAACATTTAGTCAGTAGTAATATATGTAGATCTTTTTAATTTTGATTGTTTTTCTTCTAACGACTAACGATTGATGCCTTAGATCCATGAAGAAGCAAGGAAGTTTGCATACCAGACTGGTGTCAGAGTTGTGGTTGCATATGGTGGCGCACCAATAACTAACCAGGTACCTGTTTTGTTGATGATGTGTTCTATTGTGATTCCTGGTATTTTAATTGCTGCATATCTCTTCACATATTTTTTGTTTGGTAGTTATTGTGGCTCCTTCCAGTTTAAATTATCGATGTTCTTTTTTTCAGTTTGGAATTTTAACAATATCTATTGCCGTAAAAAAAAATTACATTCGTTTCTACTGTAAGAATGAAGTGGTACATGGCAATTAATGTAAAACATTGTAGTTGTATTGTACCGCAAGGAAGAAAAGGTGCGTTGACTCTCATATTGCTATTGGAGAGTCTGCATTGGTTGTTCAAGTGTAACAAAAATAGATACGGAGTATTCTTTTGCTAGTCTCCATGCCACATCAAGTATATAGATCTCTGGATATGAAAGCAAACATGTCTTGATTCTTGAATCACTAGTTGCATCATTATTTTTTCTTATGTATCAGAATGTTGTGGTGTCATTGGGTTATAGATTTTTGGTCTATACTAATGCAATGTGAAAATTATCTTTGTTTATAATGTGTTTCTTGAAATATTGCAGCTGAGGGAGTTAGAGAGAGGTGTGGAAATCCTGGTGGCAACTCCTGGTCGCTTAATGGATCTGTTGGAGAGGGCTAGAGTCTCACTTCAAATGATAAGGTATTTAGCTCTCGATGAAGCTGATCGGATGCTTGATATGGGTTTCGAGCCACAGATACGTAAAATTGTTGAGGGCATGGACATGCCTCAACGTGGTGAGAGGCAGACAATGTTGTTTAGTGCGACATTCCCAAAAGAGATACAGGTTTGTTTCTTTCCTGTTCTCTTTCCACCCTTAAAGTAAATGCCATGTATTCTGTGTGTATTGTCACTCTAGTGGGGTTTCATACACTTGAAGCAACCAACGTATATGCATTGCCTACACTGTATGAGTGCATGTGTAGTCGTTTATCTTGTGTTTTTCTTCATCACCATGATTGTGTACTTGTTACACAAAAAAATGTGTTTATGGTCAGTTCTATTGCGTTCAATTCTTGCAATCAATCATGGTTTGATCAGAAAATTATTAATTTATGGAAGACGGACCCTATTTTTTTCTATTTCTGGCATAGTGTGTTTTTTGAACAAGGGTCTGACTAATTGTTTTAGAGCTATGCAGGCTATGCTTGCATTGCAATACTGCTGAGTTTCACAACTATGTAAGGGTCACCATAAAATGTAGGCTTTTTGCTGAAAACATTTGTGTTCCTTTTCATTTCATACGGAAATTTTGTTATGAAGAAGCTGTAGAGAAAATGAACGTACCATTTGTCCTTATTTACCTCTACTGTACTTCCAAAACTTCTTTAGTATTATCATGCATTATTTTCTCTTGGAGAAGTGCAACACAGTTAATTGATGGTACGGAAAATGGTATGATGGTCATGCCTCAAATACGGGGATTATATGAACTTGGTTACCCCCCTGCAGGTCGAGTTTTTTCATATGGACTTGGTTACTTTATAGTGGTGTTTGCCAAAGCATTTTGTGGAAAGAGAAATTTTACTGTCATTACTCATTGGAGACTGTTTAATTTCTGCTATTATAGGATCTTTATCACAAGTTGTTCGCTGTAGAATAGTTTGGTTTATAGGAATTGTGTGCTGAATATTTCATATATTGTTATGCAGAGGATGGCTGCGGATTTCCTTGCTGATTACATCTTTCTTGCTGTTGGGAGAGTTGGTTCAAGCACCGATTTGATTGCTCAGAGGGTGGAGTTTGTCCTTGATTCAGACAAACGAAGCTACCTCATGGACCTTCTTCATGCACAAAAGGCTAATGGCACACATGGAAAGGTACTATATTTTTTTCAGGATTTGTTGTTATGTTTTAGGTTGAACCTGATTGGGTTGAAGTTACCTATTAAACTTAATGGTTATATCATACTATTTTGTATATTATTATTTCCTAACTTCTTCACAGTTCTTATGGCACTTCATCTTTTTTTCTTCTTTGTTTGATGCAGCACGCTCTTACTTTGGTCTTTGTGGAGACAAAGAGGGGGGCTGATGCTCTGGAGGACTGGCTTTTTAGAAATGGATTCCCTGCAACTAGCATTCATGGAGACAGGACACAACAGGTAGGTGGTAGGTTTCATGGTTTGACCACCTTGCATGCTTTTTTACATTGCAACCAATAGCGCATGTGCATGCTTAAGATATAATAGTGTACAGCACAAATTGAATTTATTTTAATCACTTAGTATCTTCGTAAGATAATAATATGAGTAATCAATTCTGCAATTGGATTTCTTATTAACGCTAGTATATCATTAGAAAATAGTACATATATGATATATCAGAAGCAATTTTGTTACCTATGTTTTATTTTGACATTATTGTGTATCTGCTAAATGAATAAAGCTCAAAAATCAAAATCTGAGCATCCAATTAATAAAACTCAAACTCTAAAGTTTGCAATTTTTTCTGTTTCTTCAGTACGTTAAAAGGTGCCATTGATGTGTTCATTTGAAATTTAAATTATTATTTTTTATTGGAGAGTGTTATTAGGGTGTTGATTACATCTAGCAATTGGAATACAAAAGAACACATCTGGCGCTGTTATTTCATTTGCTGAAAAATCACTGTTTTCTTCTTTGGTGCTCCTGGACCTGGAGAGTTAATCGTTCGAGTACAATTCATGAGTAGAACGATAATGCGATGCATATTCAGAAAATAGATTCACTTTTCACCCACATGGACTGCTTAATTTTTATTGCTATTGCTTTAATGATGTGGTTATTATGTAATCCTAATGTTTGAGATTCCTTGGTATGTGGTTGACCATATTACTGTTTGTTCTTTATGCAGGAAAGGGAGCATGCTCTTAGGTCCTTCAAGAGTGGAGCAACTCCCATCCTTGTGGCGACTGATGTTGCTGCTCGTGGTCTTGACATACCACATGTTGCCCATGTGATTAATTTTGACCTCCCTAATGATATAGATGATTATGTTCATCGGATTGGAAGGACCGGACGTGCTGGGAAATCTGGTCTGGCTACTGCATTCTTCAACGAGAGCAACACTACGCTTGCAAGGCCGTTGAGTGATCTCATGAGAGAGGCCAACCAGGAGGTTCCTAAGTGGCTCGACGGGTACGCTGCCCGTTCAGGCTACGGAGGCGGAGGTGGTAGAAACCGCAGACAAGGTGGCGGTGCCAGATTTGGTGGCCGTGATTTCCGGCGAGATAGGGGCAGTGCTGGGTATGGTGGTGGTTCCTATGGAGGTGGCGGCGGTGGCGGTGGATATGGGGGATCATCAGGATACAGTGGTGGCTATGGCGGCGGTGGCAGCGGCTATGGTGGTGGTCAGAGTACGAGTTCTTGGGACTGAACCGGACTCTGGTGAGAAGTGAAAATGGGTCAACCGTGATCAAATTAGTCCCTATTGGGTGGAACAAATGCTTGGAATTTGTTGCTTCACTTGACGAGTACGGTGTCGGGAAATGTCCCCTTTGCCTTGGTTCTGGTGAAATCTTGTGTTTTTTGTTGTACTGGGGATTGTCTTATGTTGTTATCTGAATTGGTGGGTTCTTCTACGCCTCATGCTTGTGCTTTCTCTTGTCACAAAATATCTGTTTGCATTTTTATATCATTTCCTTACTCCGGATCACAAAATATCTAGGTTTGTCATTTAAATCAACTTCTCTTGATTTTGACCATCGTCTTTATCAAAACTTTAGTATAAACATAACATTGGCGTTACGAAACTTCTTATAAAATGTACTTTTATGCAGATATAACTCTTTGTGTAAGATAGTACATTGTGTAAGATAGTACTCCCTCCATCCTAAATTGTAAGTTATTTCAAGAATCTTGGAGAGTCAAACTTTTTCAAGTTTAACTAAAATTATAGAGAGAAACACAAAGATTGATGACATTAAATAGGTATAATATGAAAATATAACTAATGAAGAATCTAATGATATTTACTTGGTATGATAAATATTATTATTTTGTTATATAAATTTGGTCAAACTTGAAAAACTTTGACTCTCCAAGATTCTTGAAATGACTTACAATATGAGATGGAGGGAGTATATTTTTATAAATATTTGCTGGTTAAGGGTAAAATGTTCATAGGACAAACCTATATGGATTTATATTTATGATGATGATCTATATTTGTGATGAGAGGAAAGTCTTCAGATGTAAACTTTCATGGGATTATATTTGTGATTGTTCAGGGTATTTATATTTTTGATCGGAGAAGATAATATTATTGTTCAGCTTTGTTTCTACTATTTTCCGTCAATCTCTGCCTCAAAAGTGTGAGGAACGCCGACTTTTCATTTGCTACGACTACGACTACGAGCATGACATTGGCATTTTGTTATTCCCCTGATGTTATGCATTGGCATCCCAATCGGATCAAAGTTGTCGCTTACTTTCTTTGAGAAATTTGGGATAAATTAATGTGAGCACCCACTATTGGTCCAGTGGATACAAATATGGTAGAAGAGCTCCGTTGGGTAAGAAAAATACAGTAAATCTTTGGTAAAATACACAACCAGGTCTGGGTAAGATGCACAACCGGGCCTTGAAGACATCAATTGCAAATATGCAAGGATTAATAATTGGTGTGGCTAGCGACCGGACGTTTGCGCTGCTGCGCCTGCCTCATCCTGCTGCAGGGGCAGATCCACAGGGTATGCTGTCATACATACATAATATAAATTTTATACGCAAAAAAAAGAAAGGAAGCAATCTCGTTCGGTTTGGCTTCCGCACGCGCGTACCGCGGACGTGGAGTAACTGCGGCGGCCTCGATTTCGTATCACGGAGGGAGTAACTGCATCTGCACGCGGTCGAACGGAAGGAGAAGTCGAGTCGTCTGTCGTCCAGGGGACTGTTGTTGGTCATCTACTCGTCTTCGTCAGTTCGTCGGATCGTGTTCGTCTGCGCCTCTGCGGCCACGGCGGGGCTTCGACAGCTCGGACTTACGGCGCGGGATGCCCACGCCTCGCCTGTTTCGCCCGCCCACGCCTGCTCTGCCTGTCAGCCCACGCCAGCTGCTGCTACGTGCCCAATTGCTGCTGCTGCATGCTGCATCGCGCCAATCTGATACGAACGGATCGGATACGAACGGATATCACTCATATTATATTTGTTTTCATATTTCTGTTCGGATTCGGATTCGGACAAGGATAACGTTCGGATACATATACGAATACGGATTGACTCGGTTACGGATACGAATAATGAGTATCGAATACGGTATGAATCGGATTCGGAGAAGGTCGGATACAAATATCTATTCGGATATTGAGTAAAAGCAGCATATATATATATATATCATACATGCGCAAACCATTACACCACTCTATGAGTTCATAATCCATCTAGATTAAGCCGAAAGACTAAAGAGTAAAGCAACAAATAAGATAAAGATACAGATACATCATACATCAAACATCATATAAGCACCAATCTTCGCGGCATGAGTAGAAATAGCCAAGCACATTGCTTCATGGGTCTCATGGAGTCATGGTCATGGATTCAAGATCTACAATCCTTATATATGCCATTTTTTCATTTTGAGAAAGTTTGAACAAAATGTAGTTCAAATTTCACAAGTGTGTGACATAGTTTTAGAAAGTCTGTATGAGATTTAAGAATTTGTGACTAGTGTTTGATAAAACTTTCTCAAATGGGAAAATGAGCTATGTAACAATTGTATATCTTGCTGAGATGATCAAACTTGGTATTCAGAGTTTTTTCATCTGAGGTCATTTAGTGTCTCATTTGAGCAAGTTTGACCAAGTCAAATTTAGTCAAATGAAAAAACAACACTTTGACTCTAGTATTATGAACTCTAAATGACTTCAAATTGAAAAGTTTTGAATACCAAGTTTGTTCAACTCATCAAGATCTACAATTCTTGTTTTGGTCAACTTTCCATTTGAGATAGTGTGGACGGTTCAAATTTGTGATTTTTAAATTTCGATGCTTACAAACTAGTTTTCGGAACCCTAAATTGTCTCAAATTGAAAAGTTTTGAATACCAAGTTTGTTCAGCTCATCAAGATCTACAATCTTTACATAGGCTATTTTTTCATTTGAGAAAGTTTGAACAAAATGTAGTTCAAATTTCACAAGTGTGTGACATAGTTTCAGAAAATCTATATGAGATTCAAGAATTTGTGACTAGTGTTTGATAAAACTTTCTCAAATGGGAAAATGAGCTATGTAACAATTGTATATCTTGCTGAGATGATCAAATTTGGTATTCAGAGTTTTTTCATCTGAGGTCATTTAGTGTCTCATTTGAGCAAGTTTGACCAAGTCAAATTTGATCAAATGAAAAAACAACACTTTGACTCTAGTATTATGAACTCTAAATGACTTCAAATTGAAAAGTTTTGAATACCAAGTTTGTTCAACTCATCAAGATCTACAATTCTTGTTTTGGTCAACTTTCCATTTGAGATAGTTTGGACGGTTCAAATTTGTGATTTTTAAATTTCGATGCTTACAAACTAGTTTTCGGAACCCTAGATTGTCTCAAATTGAAAAGTTTTGAATACCAAATTTGTTCATCTCATCAAGATATACAATCCTTATATAGGCCATTTTTTCATTTGAGAAAGTTTGAACAAAATATAGTTCAAATTTCACAAGTGTGTGACATAGTTTCAAAAAGTCTATATGAGATTCAAGAATTTATGACTAGTGTTTGATAAAACTTTCTCAAATGGGAAAATGAGCTATGTAACAATTGTAGATCTTGCTGAGATGATCAAACTTGGTATTCAGAGTTTTTTCATCTGAGGTCATTTAGTGTCTCATTTGAGCAAGTTTGACCAAGTCAAATTTGGTCAAATGAAAAAACAACACTTTGACTCTAGTATTATGAACTCTAAATGACTTCAAATTGAAAAGTTTTGACTACCAAGTTTGTTCAACTCATCAAGATCTACAATTGTTGTTTTGGTCAACTTTCCATTTGAGATAGTTTGGATGGTTAAAATTTGTGATTTTTAAATTTTGAATAAATATCCGGATAATATCCGTTTTTAAATATCCGGATATATCCGATACTTATCCGGATTATCCGATATCCGCCGGATATCGATGATATTACATCCGTATTTGATATCCGCCTAAGATATCCGTTTTAGTATCCGTATCCGAAAAAAAAACGGATATCCGAGTAACTATCCAGATAAGTGTTCATATTTGATCGGTCGAACGGACGGTCGAATAAATATCCGTACCGTTTTCATCCATAATCGCGCCCACGCATGGACGTGGGGACCACCCGAGCCAGGGGTGACCGCATTTGCCTGCCCTCGCTTCCCTGACCTCGAGGCGAGACAGCAGACGGTGAGGAGAGTACAACATTCGATCTAATTTTGAAACACGCAGATGCAATAATTACAACATACGTCTAAAGATAATAAAACATTTGAAATAATGCGTCTAAAACACTTGTAAAAACACATGAAAAACGCTTGAAACAATTGCAAAACATACGCCACATCTAGATAAACACACTTGCAACATACATCTGAAATACTTGAACTGTACGCTTGCATCATACGTTTTTCACCCTTTTTCCGTGTGACGTAGAGTAGAGCGGGAACGACCGGTTTCGGCCACCGGCGGCCGAGGATGGTGGCGTGGCCTCGCAGCGGTCAGTCCGATTTTTTTTATTTTTTAGCTCCTTTTTAAAAAATATTCACATTCAAACCCTGAGTGCTTTAATTTCGTTTTTGGACCCAAAGGTCGGCGTCGTGATGCGTGACACGTCTTGGCGCGTGGGCCACGATGCTGAGGTTTGAGACCCGCGTAGACGTGGCAGCCGGCTCGGTGCAATGGATGGTGGCGCTAACCCAAGTCTCGTCTACAAAAGCTGATCTGACTTCTCTCTTTTTCATAGAAGCTGCATGAACTCGTGAATCGAGAGCCACTCCTGCTGCTCTCTTTTCATTGAGGGCACATGCAATGGTTACCGGTTCTAAGCTAACCTTTTTAATGGTGTCCTACATAGTATTTTCATATATTTTTAAAATGTGTGCAAGAGCGTCCCTTTATATCTGTCGTCATTGGTGTACGTGCCACAAGTTTGACTCGATTTATAAAAAATACGTGCAACATTTGTATCTCCAAATAAATTTATTGAAAAACTAGATTCAAAGATCTTTTCAATAATACTAATTATGTACTATAAATATTAATATTTTTTAATACATATTTAGTAAAAGTTGTTTCTCGAAAAACGTAAATGATAAATATTTAGGAATAGAGAGAGCAGCTCTTGATAAGAGCTAGCTTTTTTTCTCTTCTATTAAAATATAAAAAATATTTAGAGCTTGCTTAAGAGTGGGCACA